AAGACCTACCTGAAGACCGCTAGTCTGATTAGCAAGTCCTGTCGCTCTGCTGCGGTTCTGGGACGGAGTGCCCCGGAGGTGATCGAGGCCTCGTACGTCTATGGCCGCAACTTGGGTCTGGCTTTCCAGCTTGTTGATGATATGTTGGATTATACAGTCACTGAGGCGGAGATGGGTAAGCCCGTTGGTGCAGACTTGGAGCTTGGATTGGCAACTGCGCCACTCTTGTTTGCGTGGAAGAGCAACCCGGAGCTTGGTCCTCTGGTCGGACGGAAGTTCCGCGATGAGGGAGATGTGCAGCGGGTGAGTGTTCAAAATGGCGCGGCTTGGTATGATAATACTGACTATTTGATTCCACTAGGCCCGTGAGCTCGTTTACCGCAGCGATGGTGTTGAGCAGACCCGTGCTCTGGCCCGGGAATACGCCGACAAGGCCATTGCCGCCATCAGCGATTTCCCAGACAGTGAGGCGAAGGCCAGTCTTATTGAGATGTGCGAAAAGACCATGAATCGGAGGAAGTAGAGGAGATTCCGCTCCCATGTACACATATTTGTCTTTCAGCTTGCCCATCCCTTGCTGTTTCTTCAGGTGACTGTCTCTTCTTTTCTATGTGTCTGTGTACACTTGGATGTCTTAGGCGGTTGGATATATATACTTGATCTTCACCAGTAGAAACGTTTTCTTCTCTTGTCACATTATCCGGTATAAGATCGGTTGCACTGCATAAAGAGGAGAATTATCGACTCTGCTAAATTCAAGTCATCAATGTCCAGCTTGGGCTAAATTACCCATATACAAATTGAATTAACTACAGTGACAGGTGAGGTCGTTGATTTCCATTCCTTTCACGTTCCTGACAGCTGGTCGATTCAAGCGGGGTACAAAAGGAAGCTACAAGTAATGGTACAGTAAGTAACTACGATACATATAAATACAATGATTACATGCCTGAAAGTGGGTAACTTTATGAAATACCAATACATGACCTGTAATGCCGAGGTACCCAGCACCTCCGTCATCCCGTCGTGCTTGTGGAAGCTGCAACTCCCTGCAACTCACTTTCTTGTGCGCTACAATTCTTTGTCCCTCATATCGCTCGTTCTATTCTGGAGCCGGTCTCTTTTCCTCTGCCGTATCCTTTTTAGCTGTTGGAGGTCGCTCTCCCAAACTATGGAGCTTTCGATCCCGCATTGATCGACTGGTTCCCGATGGGTTCGCTCGCTAGCTTCCTCTTCGTTTACGCCCTCGGTGGAATCACTTTCATTCCACTACTTCTGTCCTCAATCATCCTCTATGCCTACTTGACCCTTCCATCTGCGCAACCGTCGCAGTCATGCGAGAAAGCGCCAGATCCCGTCCGCCAGCCTACCGATGACGACTTTAGTCTCAAGTCCGGCACTGACCAGCTGGCGGAGAAATTCCATCGCACTCACGAGTCCGATGTCGCTGCTGGATACTTTGCCGTCTGTCGTGAATATATTCCCGGTGGTGTGAATGGGAAGCCCCCCGAGAGAACGACCCCTGCCGGGGAAGTCGTTGCGGCCGAAAGTCCTAGCGTGTACCAGACTATGTACCGGAGTCTGTTCGATCGAAAGCAAGCACCCAGCATCGATCCAGCGAAGGCGAATGGAAAGACGACGAGACGGGCGCGGAACGTCTTTTACATTGTTCTCCGGTATGCCTTTCTTCGTCTGGCTGTCTAACTTGTTTGTCACTTAAGCGCTGATTGCTGACGTTGGATGATATGTGCTCAGACATGGCCACTTGATGCTCTACGATGATGTAAATCAGGTCGAGGTGCGGTATGTCATTTCGCTTGCTCACCACGATGTGACCATATACGGCGGAGAAGGGGGTATCCCAGAAGGAGAGCTGTGGCTCAAAAGAAACGCCATATGCCTCTCTCGGCGACTGGCTTCGCTTGGGGATCTAGGAGGGCCAACTCCCCCCTTTTATCTCTTCTCTGAAAACTTGTCTGAGAAGGAGGATTTCTATGTCGCCATGCTGCAGAATCAAAACCGGCTGTGGGATTCGTCTGATCGTCCGCCCAAGCACCAGGAGTTTGATACCAAGCATATTGTTACATTGGTCCAGCGCCTGCATTCCTCCGAAGAGCAGTTGCAGACTCGTTGGATTAATGCTTTCCTCGGAAGGTGGTTCCTAGCGATGTACCGGACACCTGAGTTGGAGGAATTCGTGCGGAGTAAGATCGTCAAGAAGATATCTCGTGCCAACAAACCCAACTTCATTAGCAAGCTCGGCTTACAGAGAATTGATATGGGTGAAGGGGCTCCGTTTATTACCAACCCAAGATTGAAGGACTTGACGGTGGACGGCAATTGCTGTGTGGAGGCCGATCTGCAATACACTGGAAACTTCCGGGTCGAGATATCGGCGACTGTGCGCATTGACTTAGGCCCTCGGTTCAAGGCCAGAGAGGTCGACATTGTTCTTGCCGTTGTGTTGAAGAAACTTGAAGGCCATTTGTTGGTGCGCTTCAAGCCCCCACCCAGCAATCGCATCTGGATGTCTTTCGAAACCACGCCGAGGATGGAAATGGACATACAACCCATTGTCAGCTCCAAACAAATCACATACAGCCTCATCCTGCGCACGATCGAGAGTAAGATCCGCGAAGCAGTGGCAGAGAGCATTGTTCTGCCGTTCTGGGACGACGTTCCCTTCCATAATACCTTCGGCCAGGCTTTCCGCGGTGGTATCTGGCAGCGAGAGACTCCAGAGTTGAGTGCTCAGGTAGAGGTACCAGAGATACCAGATGAATCTGGCGAAACCCCTCCGACCCCGAAGAGCGTTAGCAGTGATAACATTGAAGTGCTCAAGTCCAAGGATGATCGCACGATGAGCATGCCTATCCTTTCTGAGTCCGGAACGACAAAGAAAACGCTGCGCAAAGGCCTGAAATCCCCCCTATCGGATCTGCAATCGAACAGTTCCACCGCAACTTCCACTGGTGTTGAGAGATCGGACAGCACACCGTTGCCTCGAGCTATTCGGTCACAGACCTTCTCTCACGCTGCAGATCCTGTGCTCACAGCAGACAATGCTAAAGTTGACAAGCCTGTTCCGGGGAAAGGCGAGGAAAAGAGTCATGCAACAAGCTCCATGATAGAGATATCAAGCCGGTCCCCACCTACATCCCCTCACCGGACCCCGGGCACCTCGCCACCTACAGGCGGCCTTATTATGCCAGAAAATGCGGTCCATAGCCGCGAGTCGTCGGTTGCGGATTCTATTGACAGCGCTGGATTTGCCCATGAAAGCGTTATTCAAAGACCTTCTTCTACTCGCATAGAGAGCGGGTCCTTCTCTAGCTTGAGAAGCTCTCGAGGTAGTTCCACTGCGTCCGTCGTCAGCGACACGGCTCCACGACGTAGCACAATTGAAACCATCACCAAAACCTTTATATCTTCCGATGGGGGGTCTTCCGGTCCAATGACTCTCGGGCAAGCCACTGCCGCCGCCAAGAAATGGAGTTGGAGCGTGTTTGGTAAAGGTGATCCAAATAACGGCCAAGAATCGTCGCGGGCTCCTCCAGGCACGCCCGACGAACCGATTGGACGTGGCTATCCTCATCCACCACTTGGAACACCCTTACCGCGCCCAGACAAATATGCCCTGAAGAGGAATGCGGGAACATTGCCCAAGCGTAAACCTGTGGCGGCACACACGGTGCCTGAACGCCCTAAGACGGGAGACCAACACTCTCCGCCATCACATTTACCTCGTAGGAGACCAACGGCCCCTGAAGTACGCGATGAGCAAGGTACTGATGAACTGCTCGTGGTGGAGGCACCTCAAGAATCTGAGCCAGATAGCCCGGCCCCTGGGGACCCGGAATCAGACTCTACTCTGATAGCCCCGACTCCTGTCGAGAGTGAGACATCCTTAAAGGCTGAACGACCTAAGGCTGATTCCCAAGAGCAGGGAGACTTGCCTGCTCTTGAATCGCTGCGCTCTATTAATTAGGCGCCTTCTTCGACTCTAGGTAGTCATAAGGCCTTGCCATCTACTAGAAGGGTGGAAATACCCTCATCGTAATGCTCGTTGCCTTCGCTCTGACATGAAATGGGGGAAGGACTAAGGACTAAGGGATCTTTAGTTCATATAGATCTATACAACTATCGTTAATTCCTTAGTCATCTTGCTACGCTAGATAGAAGCCTCTATGCCGGGCTGGTTATCCCTGAATGCGACCACTCTCTAGTATAGAATATTCCAAGTTCTCTATATGACTCCTTATACTTGTAGCTAATCCTCCGAGATTCAATATATCTATGTCGATCTTAAGTTGTTCAAAAGGAAGTAGACTAAATAAACCGTGGAGATTGGCCTATATAAATACTTTATTTATCCCTGCTACCTAGCCTATAGTGTGGACATTATACATATGTTTGACGCGTATTCCGTGGACTAGGATAACCTTGGTAAGGGATAAAGCCTTAAATTCGAGCCGTGGCCTAAACCTGTATCGGCTTAGGCGTCGCCAAGACTCCCGACAGGCGCCAGCTTTCCTATTCCCTATCAACGTCATTACTCGAACTCCCACGTGTGTCTTTTTTAGTGCTTCACCAATTCCCCTTTACTTTACGATTCGAATTATCCTCTTGTTCCGGTTAGCGCAATCAATCTCTAGCGTCTGTGCGCTATCCGGGTTCGAGATCTTGTCAACGCGATAAACCTTTCCGACATTTATCCACTCCCCTCCCCCCTGAGCACACACCCCAACGGCCACGATGAGTCGGTAAGGAGATGGATATGGAATTTTGAGAGTGCTTGTCTGATAAGGGATTACGCAGGACGGAGGCCGATTTGGCCATCAATATCCGTAAGGCAACCAGTATCGGTAAGTCATTAAGCGGGGGATGAGACCGACACGAGAGAGTGGATATAGTGAGCTAACGATCTGATAACTAATAGAGGAAACCGCCCCTAAACGTATGTCCTAGTCATATTTCATTGCCCCTAATCGAACCGATTGATGCCGCCTCGGCTTTGCCGCGCCCGAATCGAACTGACCCCCGCGCTTGTAGGGAAACATGTGCGGAGCTGCATCGTCTATACGTGGGACCACAAGTCATCGGCAGCTTTCTGGGCTGGCATGAAAGTGTATGTTTAGGATACCCGGCAGGCATGGAATGGAACAGTTATTCTCGAGATGGCTGACACGGCTTCGTTCTTCACAGGCAGCCCGTCCTCGCCGACGAGGTCCAGACGTTCAAGGCCCTAATCACGATACATAAGGTTCTTCAGGAGGGCCACCCTATGGTTGTCCGCGAGGCGCAGCAACATTCCAACTGGATTGATAGCTTGATGCGAGGAGTCGGAGGCGACGGCGTTCGAGGTATGGATTCTACGCCGGACGACTGCGCAATTGCTCTCTGCCCGAGAAGTTGCAATAAATGCGACGGACGGTATAATGACAGTTCTGGATAGGATACGCACCACTCATTCGGGAGTACGTCTTCTTCCTCGAGGCGAAACTGAACTTCCATCGCAACCACCCCGAATTCAACGGTATGTCGTCCACGGTTGCCCAGTTCTATAAAGGGCGGGTATCTGATAGTCACAGGATTATTTGAATACGAGGAGTATATTAGTTTAAAGTCGATCAACGATCCGAACGAAGGGTACGTATATACCTGATCTTTGCGATAATAGAGAGAGGTGTTAACAGTCATATAGCTACGAGACCATCACCGATTTGATGGCTCTACAAGATCAAATCGATTCCTTCCAAAAGCTCATCTTCTCAAACTTCCAGTCCGGCACGAACAATGAATGTCGAATCTCGGCATTAGTGCCACTTGTGCAGGAGAGTTATGGCATCTACAAGTTCATTACCAGCATGTTGCGAGCCATGCACACAAGTACGTTGCCCTTGGTCCTTAGAACTTAGGTTTAATGGACGTTGACTAACGTTTCTTACAGCCACCGGAGAGGACGAAGCTCTCGAGCCACTCCGAGGCCGATATGATGCCCAGCATCACCGTCTCGTTCGGTTCTACTACGAGTGCTCCAACCTACGCTATCTAACAGGCCTCATCACAATCCCGAAGTTGCCACAAGATCCGCCAAGTTTGCTTGCCGAAGATGAGGATCGCCCAGCTCTTCCCAGACGGCCGGCGAGAGAAGTGGAACACCAGCCCTCGCCGCCCCCGAAGGTCGCTGCTGAACCAGAGCCGATCAATGATTTCTGGACAAACGAAGCTAAACGCCAGCAAGAAGAGTACGAGGCGGAACAACAACGCTTGCAGCAGCAGTGGGAGGAGCAGCAACGTCAGCAAATCCTCGCCCAACAGCAAGCCCAGAATGATTTCGAGGAGCAGCAGCGTCTACAGGCGGAACAGCAGCGGCTGGCACAGGAACAGCTTCTCCGTGACCAGTACCAGACACACACACAAGGTCGGCTAGCAGAGCTGGAGCAGGAGAACCTTAATGCCCGTGCACAGTATGAGCGCGACCAGCTGATGCTGCAGCAATATGATCGCCGTGTCAAAGAGGTTGAGGAGCAGATGAACCACCTAAACTCGAACCTGAACTTGCAGAATGCCTCGAAGGACGATCAGATTCGATCCCTACAAGAGCAGGTGAACACCTGGCGATCTAAGTACGAGGCATTGGCCAAGTTGTACTCACAGCTTCGACAAGAGCACCTCGATCTTCTACAGACTACGAAGAGCCTTAAGCTCAAGGCAGCTTCCGCACAAGAGGCAATTGATCGACGAGAGAAGCTGGAGCGCGAGCTAAAGACTAAGAACTTGGAGCTGGCTGACATGATTCGGGAACGTGACCGTGCTCTACATGACCGTGACCGTCTGACAGGAACCAATAAGGATGACTTGGAGAAGGTCAAGCGCGAGCTTCGCATGGCTCTTGAGCGTGCTGAAAACGCAGAACGCTCAAAGGGCACCGAGATCTCGTCCTTGCTGTCCAAGTATAACCGCGAGATGGCTGACCTGGAAGAGTCCCTTCGGGTGAGTAGCTATTCATCTTCCTTAGGTGTGTGGTTCACGCTGACCTTATAGATTAAAACGCGCGCATTGGACGAACATTCCAGTCGCAACCATGACCGCCAGGAAGACCTCGACCTATCTCTTCGCGAGAAGGACGAGGAGATTGAGGTGTATAAGTCTGGCATGGAACAGGCTCTTATAGAACTAGAGGAGCTAAAACTGGTAAGTAGTGATATTGACAATATTCGATATCTGCATACTAACTATGTTCCACTATAGAGCCAAGGCGATGTCGACCATGCGCTAGACAGCCAGATTGACACTGTGCTACATGGCACAGTTGCCAAGATTAACGATATTATCGACTCTGTGCTGCAGACTGGTGTGCAGCGTGTCGATGATGCTCTATATGAACTAGACTCGTCTATGCAGGCCGGTAACCAAAATGCTTCTCCTCCATATGTTCTTTCGCAGATTGAAAAGGCGTCGGCTTCTGCCACCGAGTTCTCAACAGCTTTCAATAACTTTGTCGCCGATGGTCCCAACAGTCCCCATGCTGAGATTATCCGCACAGTGTCTATCTTCTCTGGATCTGTCTCGGATGTGCTGAGCAACACCAAGGGTCTCATCCGCTTCGCCACTAACGATAAGAGCTCTGATCACCTGATTAATGCTGGGCGCAAGTCTGCTCAGGCGACCGTGCGGTTCTTCCGTGGCTTACAGTCGTTCCGTCTCGAAGGTCTGGAGCCACTGCAGAAGACTGATGTTGTTATCAACAACAATCTTGAAGTCCAGCGTGATCTTCAGGCGCTATCGAAGCTTGTCGACTCGTTCGCTCCTAAGCACACCAAGATCAGCACTAGTGGTGATCTGGGTGACCTTGTCGACCAGGAACTGCTGAAGGCTGCCGATGCCATTGACGCAGCTGCCCAGCGTCTGGCCAAGCTCAAGAATAAGCCCCGTGATGGATACACGACCTACGAGCTGCGTATCAACGATGTTATCCTTGCTGCCGCCATTGCTGTCACCAACGCAATCTCGGAGCTGATCAAGGCCGCCACAGAGACCCAGCAAGAGATTGTTCGCGAAGGCCGTGGTAGCTCGTCTCGCACTGCCTTCTACAAGAAGAACAACCGCTGGACGGAGGGCTTGATCTCCGCTGCCAAAGCAGTGGCCACTTCGACCAACACATTGATCGAGACTGCCGACGGTGTAATCTCGGGCCGTAACTCGCCAGAACAACTCATCGTCGCCTCCAACGATGTCGCAGCCAGCACTGCCCAGCTGGTCGCAGCCAGTCGTGTCAAGGCAACATTCATGAGCAAGACTCAGGACCGCCTAGAGACCGCCAGCAAGGCTGTTGGTGCTGCTTGCCGTGCCCTTGTGCGACAGGTGCAGGACATAATCAAGGAGAACCGTGACGGCGACGAGGGAGAGGATTATGGGAAGTTGAGCTCGCACGAGTTCAAGGTCCGCGAGATGGAGCAGCAGGTATATGACGTCCCCTTCCCCTTATATCTCATCCATCCAATGCTAATATGTATCCTCTTAACAGGTCGAAATCCTCCAACTCGAGAACGGTCTGGCTCGTGCCCGCCAGCGTCTGGGCGAAATGCGCAAGATCTCGTACCAGGAAGAGTAGGGAAAACGTCACATGTATCTTCGCTCTTGGCTGTCTGTGTATATTCCGCATCTCAATCTCGAGGAGTTTTATTTTGTCTGTGTCTCTTTGCGTTATTCCGCCTGGGCCCTTCTCGCCAACCCCCGTAGTTAGTCTCTTATTTTGATTTCCTATAGCGAATGCAAGCAACTTACCCAAGTCCCCTAAATCCACTCCTCTACATCCAATCCATATTCTGTCTCTAGTAGACAAGTGTGCAAAGCGCACAGTCGTAACGTCGTATGGTCGCACTATCGCACGGTCGGACATATAAGGCTCGCCTCCGGCATATCCCCTGCTCGACGCTGTATGCCAAGCCTTGTCTCTATACCCGACTGGTGGAACCATGGTAGTGCATGCCGATCCGCGGGTGGAGCCGACTAGCGGCGGCTATCAATAGAGAGTATCGAGACGTCCTCTTATGCACCAAGATAAAAACCGAGTGCCTAGGGGTCGCTGGGTGGTTGGGGCTTCAAGAAAAAAAAAATGATATAGAGGCCCAACGTTATTCTAAGTGAGGCATTGGAAAGGTGTAGTTCGTAACCCGGAAAACAGGGGGGTTGAAGACGGTTGGTTGTCGAACTGAATACCTATGATGCAAAAGATGCGACCGTGTCCTCGCGATGCGTCCCTACGTATCCATTTACAATTCTACATGCTACAAGAGAGGAAGCAGTTTGTGAAAAACACCAATGGAATTTCAAACTAAAGTACATAAAAAGCGCTCACGTTGCAGGAAAAGAGCTTCTGGAAAACCCCGTGGGAAAGAAAGCCAGTCAGCTCAGTTCCTAAGAACTTGCCATGAGCGAAAACAGAAGAATTGAAAGCCGACAGGTCAGCGGAAAGAATCAGCTAATTGTACAGGAGAATTGCGATACATAAGAAAGTAAATTTTTTTTTGAACTTTTGTTTTCAATTGTTTTTGGGGTTTTGAGACGTGGGCGAGAATGAAATTGTGCCTGATTGCTGAAAATGATCCATGCATCCCCGTAGGAGGCCGGTCAGCAAAAGGAGAAGGCGAGGTAATGGAACTGTTGACCATAATGAGTTGGCGATAGTGACATCAAATGTCGCTAGACCGGTAGGGACAAGTAAACAGTTGAAAGCTCTAGTTATTCGTAACGAGTCGCTCAAGGTTCGCCATTGTAGCAGAAAGAGAGGGGTTTTTGTTAGGGTCATAGATGATAGGAAGTCCATGGTCGCGCTCGGTATCGAGGGTGGAGTACATTTCATCAACTTCGAATTCTTCAATTGGCCACTGAGGAACGTCGTTGAACACCCAGTTCTGAGGGTCCCGAACGGTTGCTGTAAAGGATGGGTCCACGGCGAACACTTCTCCATTTTCGAGGATGTGCTTATCCCACTCTTCGCTGCGAGTCTGGGCGTAGTTGTTATCGATGCAGTGCTTCACAACTTGGTCGACAGCGATCATCGGCGGGCTAAGACTAGCCAAATTTGAGGAAGCAATCTTGCGCAAGCTGAGGCTATTTCCGGTGGGCTGGACACTCCAGCCAGACAGGTTGAGGTACTGCTGACGAGACAGGAAACCCATCAGAGGCAGGCAAAGCTCGACAAAGGCAGGGAGCGAGGGGGTGTCGACATCGAAGTGATCACGGATGATTGTGTAGGCCTTAGCGAGAACAGCCCAGTGGGACTTCAAGGTATCATCTTGCCACATTTCGCTAATAGCCATAGACTTCACTTTCTGAGGAATACCAGGAAACATTGGTGCGCAAAAACCTAAATACTGTCAGAAGCGAATCAATGATCACAAAGATGGCACTTACTCCGGAAGATCATAAAGCTGTTCAGCGGGCGAAGGCGGCGTTGCTCCAAGGGGGAGGAGAGTACATTCTGCATCACATGTCCAACACACCCGGTGGTCGAGTCAGGGTGGAGTTGCTGCATAGGTAGAGCTTGATCAATACGTTTCAGCTCTAGCACACCATTTGCATAGACGAAACGTGGTCCGGTGGGCAAAAGCCGGGGCTGCTGGAAGTAATTTGCAGGAAGCTCACGTAGAACTTTAGCAGCATACTGTCCCACGGGAGAATCCTCAGGCCAGCGTTCTAGCACCCTAAGGGCGTGGCGAAGGGACAAGGTTTCAATGTATCGAAACAAAAGCATCTCCAGATGAGTAGGCTCGTATCCCGGGGGGACGGAAACAGCGAGAGAGGTAGACATGCTGAACAATGTAGTAAAGGTTTAGAGCGAAGAGGATATCAATAAAGAGATAAGGTGTGGGGTGAAAGGAAAAAAGAAGGGTGGAGAGAGGAGAGGGAAGAAAGAAGAGAAGAAGAAATAAGGTGGGAGGTAAACAAAACACAGAGGCTGAGACTATAGAAAAGTAGGTGATAAGGTGGGCGATTTCTTTGTTTAGCGGCAACACCAATCATAGAGCTAGGTGAGACATATATATTTTCTTTGTTTCCTAGAAACACCAATCACATGCTCTCATCCTAGGGAAGATTTCTTTGTTAGGAATAGCACTAGTAGAACAAAGAAAGTCAATTATAGAGGGATAGGACTACGGTAAAAGGTACTTCGGTATCAAGTACCATTTCGATAACTATATACCTTGATATTTAGGCTAGCCATTCGGATTATAACTAGTAGCTTCTCTATCTAATGCTTACTATGGTTAATATACTATGGTAACTCATTAAGATATGATTTCGATCTGTGCTAGATCTGTGCTACCTAGGTATGCATCTAGGTCGGGTGAGTGGATCTTCCTAGCTTCACCACGTGGCACTATAGATCCGGGGATTAGCGCCCGCACCGATAGCTAACCTTAAAAATATATTAAAGTTTACATACACAATATAGCTTTGAACTACGTAGTGAGTCTATTTCTGATTATATAGACAATCTCAGTTCCTATAAAATATAATAAAACTATAATTAGTATAGGAGGAAACCTAATACAGTTTTGTCTAACAGAGTATTAATAAGGTACCTACCTAAGATGTACTATTACTTGAAAATCGCTATAGCAATAGGAAGGCAAATAAAGCAAACGAGCAGCTAACAAATAGATATAATAAAATCAAATAAAGAAACTAGATAAAGAAACTAAACAAAGAAGCTAAATAAAGAAACTAAAAGAGATATTAGACAAAGAAGTCAAGTAGCAAAAATCAAAAAAGCCTAATTAAAAAATGGAAATTAATAAATAAAAGAAATAAAAAGAAACAACGCTAAAATAACACAAAAGGGACAATAAGGATAAAGAAACTGGCAGCTAATCTAAAAATAGAACCAGGGAAATGGCAAATGTGGAGGCTTAAAACCTAAGGCAGCTAAGGACCTAGAAGTCTTTAGTAAAGTTCTATGCTGTTATGTGGGTGTGGGTATATGACCTCTTAAGTAGCATTACAAGTGTCTTCCTCGTTGACAGATATCTTTTGTTAGGACAAGAAGACCTCAGAAACGGTTTCTATTACATGCCATGTATACGTACGTTAATATTGGAAGGTATCACATCTAGGGCTCTCCGTGTTCAATCAACGACACTAAGTTTACAACGAGCGTGTAGATATCAGCCATAACAATTGAAAATAGATACTCGGCTGTAGAATGTTCAACAAATTGTTGACTACCGAGGGATATCCCCTTTTCTAGAACATGTATTTCATTGCTCTTACGTCGCAACCGGTGAGTTCCAGTCGCTGGCCCAGATGAAAGTTGGACACCGCCATTGTGTACCCTTTTCCTTTTCTCCGCTGGGTCCTAATGGCCGGGGACAGATCCAAAAGGAGCGGCCGCGATTCATTCCGGGTTTCTTCGTGGTCAAGCTGATACACGGCTCTTGGTGTCCATCGCACGCTGGAACGGGCTTCTTAGTAAAAATTTTTGACCAATCCTCCTTGCTGACAATCGGGTCGATTATTGTGTCGTCTATAAACTTGCCGGCTATCGGCCATTCGATAGAAGTGTCAGCTTCATTTCGTATTGTGTCTTCTTGGGACCCCGGAGGCTGCGAATTGATTCCTGAAGCTTTCCCTTTCTCTTGTGGGCTTTCCGATGGTTTGGGTTCGAGTGATAGTATCGAGGATCCCGGAAAAGCCATAGGTGACCTGGTAGCTTCATATATATCGACAGCTTTTGGCTTGAAGAAGCCCGTTAATGTCTTTTGGCCTGCCGCGGAGCCCTCGGAAGACGTCGATACGGCGGACTTGGAGCGTTTCACGAATGTGGTGGGTAGAGGCTGGGCGCGTTTACGAGAAACAGTCTGGGAGGGTTGATTTCCCTCAGTAATAGGCGTAGAAGCCTTTTTGGCCGAGGCAGTAGATCCGAAGGCTGTGTGCATGACCGTGGATTCGGTGACTTGAGGTGTGGGCATGTTAGCCGGTGAATCGGCTAGCTCTACCGAGCCCGACGGAATACGGGCTGGTTTGCGAGTGAACATGTCCTTGATGCTTCTGCGCTTATCAACGTTGAATTCGGGGAGCAAACGCCCCGAAGCGGGCAATGCGCACTCGTTTGTGTATTCCTGTTGACGCTGACCGCGGCTAAACATTCCCGGTGGGTTGAGAATATCCCTGACGTTTACTTCGCCTTCGGGCCGATTTACAGATTCCTTGATGACAGCATATACAGGACAGTGGTCCGATCCCTATAAAGGAGTCAATCAATGATTCAACATAAAGGAGCGAAGTCCATACCATCAATCCCTCTTGAATGTTTGAGTCGGAGAACCAGTCCTGCATATACAAGCTGCACAACACATAGTCGATCCTTGATCCGTAATTCCCTGGTCGAGCATTAAGCTTCTGATCCCAGCATGTATACATGCCTGTACGATCTGGATGAAATGACCTGCAGACATCGAAGAGGATAGGATCTTCCCTGCCTTTGTCACGTCCGCCAATAACCACGCCATCCGATACCAAGTGGTTGAATAGACGTCGAGGGGGGGCAGATATAAATTCCTCCTCTGTCATCGTACCTTTTCGTATGGCCTCAATTCCATGAGCGGCATCAATGCCCTGCTTCGAGATATTGATATCGCCAGCGACGACCACATTCTTCCCCATCGCAGTCAGGTTGCGGATTCGAGAATCTAGGGCATTGAGAAAGTCCATGCGAAAGGTATCCCGATTCTCATCCCGATAGGCAGGGCAATAGACACCAATTAGGACAAATGCAGGAAACTCCAGAATGACGCAGCGCCCTTCGGAGTCGATCATTGGTGCAGCTATTGTGGTATCGGGCACGGAGCCCACATCCTCTTGCTCTTCCGATTCAGGCCCTTCAGGATTCATAGCCGACCTGGAAAGCTGATCGGATGTTGGATACCCACCGATCTGCTGTTCTTCTGGAAGACTGCGAAAAGATGTTGAGGATTTCGGTGGACAGAGAACTCCGGTAATACCCTCTTCTGCCCTTATTGGAGAACATGTGGCATTGCGCGTGTAAATCACAACACCCGAGTATCCTAGAAGCTGTTAATATTCTGTATAGATAGCTCTTGACTAGTAGCTTGCCTTTTTTAACTCGAGGGAGACTAAAATAACAGTCCCATCCCGGAACCAGGACCATGTCATCGCGGAGGTCTTTGCGTTGAATCTTGGTTTCTTGCAGAATTACAATATCCGCCTCCAGTGTATCAAACATGGACTTTGAAGCAAATAAGCTCGGCATGCTCGGGAAATAGAAGGATACAAACTTACCTCGAATGTGCGCGTTCCTCTCCATGGCTCATAGGAGAACGGGTTTCTTTTTACTATATTAGTGCTGAACGAGTCCAACTGGCAGTATTTTCTCATACCGTATACCATTGACTAGAAAGTGACGCGCCGTTGGTATATATTTATCACTCCAATACTAGTTAGAATTCAGACAGGACTTACCATTCCATGTGGTGATGCGAAATCCCATGTTGGACGCTAGTGTACCAGGGGCCAAGGCGGCATTTCTTGCGATTCAAATAGTCAAGAGAGGCTAAGATATAAATGGAAAAGTAGAGTCAACCAAGTATCAGAACCTCCCCTAGTTGTTGAATCTAGGTCCGGGGTTGCGGAAGCGTGCACGCCGAAGTTCATACATAACGTGACCACGTGACTAACTAACGTAATCCACCAGCGGGCCACCCAACCCAAAACGCGTCCATGAATTAGCACTTGGTTAATTCAACCACCCACCATGCCACCAATTCGCTCTCAATCCTCTAAAATCCAATAGAGCGGGAGGGTAGGATCTTATTAGCTATTCAGGCTAGCTAGTAAGAATCAAGAAGTCTCTTCAATCCGTGAAGCGGCACGCCTATTTCAAGTCCCCCGCTCTACCTTGCAACGCCGCCTCTTCGGTGATACCTTTCGTCCTGAAACACGCGCCAACAACTATAAGTTGACTGAAACTAAGGAGGAATCGCTTTAAAAATGGATTCTCTCTATGGATTCTCGCGGATCAGCTCCCCGGCCCTCTACTGTACGAGAAATGGCGAATCTTCCCCTTGAAAAGCGCGGAACCACCCCGGTTCTTTCGGTCGGCGAAAATTAGGTTCTAAAATTTGTTAAACGACACCCTCTCCTTTCCCCCCGATTCTCAAGACGCTATAATTACGAACGTGCGAAATACGAAGACCCGAAAATTATTAGGGAGTGGTTTAATCTGGTTTAAAAAACTATCCTTTAATTTATAATCGACCCCGATTGTAAAGGTATACTGTTTCCAGGTGTATGGCCTGTCAACCGGGTAAGATACTATGGCTTGGAGGAGAACACAATGTATTGTCTGGAGTGCCAAGACTAATTCTTGCCAGTCTCTTTTTGGGACCCT